AAAAAAAAAAAAAAAAAAAAAAAAAAAAAAAAAAAAAAAAAAAAAAAAAAAAAAAAAAGAAATTCTTTCTTATCTCAAATGAACTACATTTTGAATAAGCTCTCGTTGTTTTCTCGGGAGAAGAAAAAGAAAAACTCAAGTTCCTCTCATAGTGGTGTAGAAGAAATCGGCTTGACGGGCAAAATCCAAACAGTATCTCTATATATGTATACTCGTATGACTAACTCGGTTTTATTACACGCGCGCAAGGGGGACCCGAGTCTTGAGCGTACGAGCAGCTCAGAAAACGGTACTCATACGTATAGACATCAGCAAAAATGTACCGATCTACAATTATTATTTTCTCTCCCTATAGGAATGTAAAAACAACTCACGGAGGCGTGGAAAAAAGAAAAAAAGAAAAAAAAAAGGGGGGGGGAGGAAACTATTGGTAGGTATACCACTTTGCACGTAAAACACACGCACACAGCGTCACGGGTGCGTAGACGCACAGCTACAACTATACTTGTACCCAATGATAATTATGTACGCGGGGGAGAGGATACAATATACATATATACATGTGTAGTATACGCCACGCCACGCGCTGATGAATTATCTGGTCAATGGCATGGTCTGTACACTGTACGGTTGCTATATATACATAGGGACTCTCGTATGCCTTGCCAAAAAATATTGTTGCGAAGGGAATTGCGGAGCACACGAGTGACATAGGGGGGCAAATAACTACTATTTAAATCGGCATGGACACTTTAGCTGCACTTTCGCTTGCATACATGCATCAAACCGCACGGATCGGTTACACCTTCATACACGTATAATGAAAAATGTATATGCACGCGATCGACTCATCGCGTACATGTAATACTACTTATAAGAAGCGATGCGATTGAGAGGCTGCCAGGAATTTTTTGGCTCACATATACGCGGTTAGTGTCAATGCCAACGTGACTGTATAGTACACCTAAATGAGATGATAATGATAATGATATAATGATGATGTTGGATGTGGCCTCTAGCACTTTTATGTTATCATTTGTTTCCCTTTTTTTTTTTTTTTTTTTTTTTTTATTTTTTTTTTTTTATTATTATTATTATTGGGTATGCACTGCTTGGTACAATATAATATCCCCTACTGACAGTCTATGTACTAAAAACAAAGAGGGAGACGCTGTTACTTTGTATGGAAAGATCGGCATTTTACCTTTTTATAAAAGACGTATGCAGCGGGTCCTGGACAATTTATTTACCGATTTTCTGCACTCGCTTATTTACTCCCCACTGCATGTACTATATATATACGAATGAAACGATCGTTTTACACAACATTGGAAATCACCGCCGTGACGTGCCGATCGTAAAGCAACGAGTATTACATTTTGCAACAGACTCTCCCCGAAAGGAGACAAAGATTTTACATCCGACACTACTCGTATGTGTATCCGTTTATCGAATATATTATTCGATATGTCCTATTGAATGTCATTTGTAAATACGTATATCCCGATGTGTGTGTGATTAATTTCGGGTTCGGTTCACAACATAGGTATCTATACACGCAATTGTACAGAGACTCAACAAACAGCTATGTACCAATATTAGATGTGTAAATCATTCGATGAAATTCACTACTCATAAGTGTACTTTAAAAATGAATAAGAAAATATTTTTTTTTTACAAATTTGTCCAACAGCTTGCCTTTGCAACAATATTGTTCTTCTGGAAGCAAATTAAGGTGTATAATCAACAAAAAATTTGGGCTTGAAGCTTTTCAAGAGAATCGCTTGTACACGTGAAAAAAGGATGCCTGCGTGTAAGCTGAGAATCAAAGTATGTTAAATATAATATATACGTTCATGCATATATCATATATTAAACGTCACATAATAATAATAATATCCTTATATAAGCGCGCGACCGTATAATACACAAATATGTGTGTGTAGTACCGGCAACAACGAGCACGCTTGAATATTATACTTGCTATATAAGTACGTACTTGTACATACATCCCTCTTCTCGTCTTACTCATTTCTCTGACGCCATATTATATTATAACGGAGCGCTTATCTGCTTCATTACGAATTTACTCTCTCATCGCCTACTCGGTTTTTCTCTACTCCTACTACCACTAAAAAAATTGCAACCTTTTTTTTTTATTAGNAAAATTTGATTACTTATGAGAGTTATACAAACGATACCGAAAAAACAAAACAAAAAAATAAATAAATAAATAAAACACAAGTGTGCTAGAATTACCTACTATCTCGAACTATTTTATTGGTCCAGAGACTTTACTGCTACAAACGGTCATTTATATCTTAAATACAGTAATTTTTACTTTTTCACTATAGACATTACTGTCTAGCCATTAGGTAAATTGTAGAAATTAAATTGCCAAAAGTGGAAAATCCGTAAACGGTGAAATGGCACCAGATTACCATTCTAGCACTGTGATTATTAGTACTTTTTTCCCATCAGTGTATCATGGAATATCAAACACAAGAAAACTGGTTTATTAAAATCTATGTACAAAAAAATAATAATAATAATAATAAAAATAATAATAACAATAATGTTTTTGTACTGNTTTTTTTTTTCTTTTTTTTTTTTTCTAATTTTCTTGCATTAAAAAAAAAAAAATTTAGCACAATATCGAAAACCGTAAATCGGAGACCGCGATTGAACGTAAAATTATTGGTTAGTACGTAAAAACTAGGTGCACAACTTTTAAATTTAACAAAAAAAAAAAATTTCCCACGCAACATCATGCATATTGTCATTATTGTATTTTTGGCGTTACTGATAAATATACCTATACCTATGAATATGACATGCATTAGCACAGTCTTCTTTATACATTGTAAGTACAGCTCCTTTTTTTCAATTTACAGGGTTTACACGTTTGCAAATTTTTAGTACGGTCACAAGATGTACACATAGTATATTATACCTAATTTTATTACAATAAGGATTATTCACGTGTAAGTATTATGCAAAGCATCAATTTTTTGGTATTCGTTATCGATGACTTAAAAAATAATCGAAATTGGCGTTTGTTAAAATTTATTCAATATTTCTTTTAACTCTATCTGAAATCGCCATTAGGTTACACCCACATCATCTCAGACTATAAGATTTTGTTTGTCGAGACAGACACTTCCTTACATTGTACCGTTTCATAAATATTGTACATTTCACTCGTCGTGGCAGTGACGACAATAAAAGAGTTTTCCACCGAGGGCTATCTAGGAATTATACTGCACGTACATCCTAAGCCATTCTACAAAAAACTTTAGTCGTGAAAACGGTACTTTCCCCAAAATTGAAGCGTCACGCTTGGTTCATTTCACATTCACGAATTTTCCCACATTCCTTGAGTTATCTCGTCCCAAAGGTGTTCACTTTTGAGAAACTTTTTTTTTTTTTTTTTTTTTTTTTTTTTTTTTTTTTTTTTATAAATCTTGGATGCTATGTTATTTTGTCGATTCGACGCGGTGGGGAATAAAAACAAAAAAAAATGGTTTACCGTTAATAGTCCAGGCACGTCGTATGCTGTGCTTCAAAATGTCCAAGGCGGACAAGTAATGGTCCCTTCCGGTTGTGCGGCTCCACTCGGCGGACACGGGACGCAAGTCCCTGGGAAACGGAAAGGGAAGAGAGAGAGAGAGAGAAAAAAAAGGCCATTTTATTCCTCGAAGACTCTAGTACATACTTTTACGGTACTTTCAAATACAGAAGCATCCGATGCATGTCGTTTGCGCAAACTGTATACGATTACGTAAAATTTTTTGTTTTTTGTTTAATTTCACAACATATAAAAAAGGAAAAAAAAAAACTCGATCATTAAAATAAATTCTTGAGCTTAATACACTTGTGAGCGAACAATTGCGATAGGTATATTTAGTATTCACCGTATCTTGTGGCAAAAGGTGCACAGCCAGTCATTGTTGTTGTTGATGGGGATGCTCCCGAGCTCGCGGCATTGCCGGCAGACCCGGAGCTTGCATCGCGGACAGGGGGCTCCGGTGTTGTAAAATCTGCCAAGGGCCGCGGCGCACCTCGCGCACTTACGGCCCTGCTGTGGTAGTATCGGCGACGACGACGACGACGACGAGATCGCTCCTCCTCCTCCTCCAGCGACTGCTGCTGGCTGTAATAGCGTGCGTCCTTTTGACTTTACAGCTATCTTCCTGCAAACAACGACGTACACACGTACATACACAAATATCACGTTGAAAAAAAAAACAAAAAAAAAAATATCACTTATTCAATCACGCACAATAACCATGAATTATAATGTCTATGGGCACTCGATCACTTATTCTTTCTTCCCGTCATTTCATCATATTTACACTATGAGCAGCATTGAAAAAAAAAAAAAAAAAAAAAAACGAAACGAAAGAAAGGAAAAAGAAAAAATGCACGTAGGTGCCTATACAACGTATTTGATACACGTACACTCACACACACTTTTTTTACAACGATCGGTAGGTACACAGCTTCCCGTGGAGTATATCGGAGCTAGGGCCTACTCCTCATATTGTTTACAGGTAGGTAGGTATACTATTGTTGTTGTTGCGTAACTCCTTCGTGGCAAACATCCAGAGCATTGCTATACGTATACACATATAATATCAACAATTATTTATCGTTGTTACATTACGTGATACGATATATTATATATTGTAATTGTACACACCGATCGAAGCGAGAGATCGTGAAAGAGAGACGCGTGCGCGGATCTAGAGAGTAAAGTGTACCTTGTAGACCTACCGACTGCTACCTAGGTAAGTATTGCAGTGAGGTCCAGCGGAACCGCAGCGTCCCAGCGAAGGAGTATGAGTAGGTAGGTATATATTATAAAGCGGCAACACAGCTCGGGAGAGCTCACCTTGCTTACCGATCTTTTCTCGCCCCGTTCTCGTCTGTATGTACGTGCATTATATGCGTTCGTGTATACGGGTATATATACTACACACGTGCACCTACACCTACATGTTTATCCTCCTCCTCCTCCGGCGGGGGCGTCGCACATATACACACGCTCGCGAGATCTTGTGTTCTCCCTACCTATATATACCTACGCCTCCTCCTTCTCTCCTCTCTTTCTCGCTGGTGTTGCGAGAGATATTATACTTATATATATATATTATATCTCCTCCGGCTCCTTTCTCGATCTCCCTCTTCGGGGGCAGCAACAGTACCTATACTACTGCTGGCTACGGTGCCCATTTCATTTTTTTTTTTTTT